AAATTCGACAAAAGTTTCATCAAAATTTTGAGCTTTTTAATAAGATTTCCTAGAAATATTCTGAGTACGCAGTTTTGTAGAACATTAAATTTTACTTACCGTTGCTTTTCGGTATTTTTTTTTTTTTTTGTGGAAGGTGTTACTCATTTTCTCCATACAACAAGTCTAGCAACGAACCTGTCGTGGAAAAAGGCAAGTATTGGGCAGGCAAAACTAAGTCATTCTTACTTTGTATCCTTCTCGCACATTTAATCTTTCTTTCCGTTTACGACATCCGGTTAAGGCCGACCGACGCTTTAATTGCGCCTATTCGTTTTGTGTGAAAATGAATCGGTTGCGCCTATTTATCTAAACTTACACATTCCAAAGCAACCTTTTCATTTTAGATATAGTATTTAACTCGATTTGGTATTGTTTTGGACAAATGTGCGATACGTATCGGTGATGGGCACCGCCTTGCCCGCGTGGAAAGCTCTTTTAAGCTTTCTATACTTTTTGTACAGAAAGCGTGCAGAGGAAAAGCTCTCTCTGCCCATCGCTGATGTAGATACACATTGAGATGATAAGAGTTATAGTTTCTCTGAAACAAAATGACCGCGATAAAGTCTATTGTTCGTTCGCTCATTGACACGAAAAGCAAATATCCGGCCGAACATTGCGAATTATACACCTATAAAATTTTATTGCATACTTTTAGGGCACTTGTGCTGATGCTTTTAGCGCGTTTGTATTGTAAAATTACGTTATGTAACGAAACCCAAAGAGGAAGAAAACAACTTTCAATAAAATTTTTTCCAAAGGAAACTTGGAGGCGGATAAACGAGAAAAACAAACAGTAGTAAGGCCTGCCTACTTCTTTTGCCACTTTGCCACAGAAAAATATGCCATTTATAAACGTAATCGCTATATAACTCAAAAACATGAAATTTCGAGTTGAGTCCTTATTGCAGAGGACCGTCGATATGTACATACATATATATTTGTAAACAAGTTTTTAAATAAAGCTTACAACTATATCAGATTCACATAATCCTCTGAAAGATTTTCACGCCATGAATTCCCAAATCTATTTTACTTCAAATTCGGAATATTCGTACACATGATTTGTTTTTTTAATTAATAGCTGAGATTGATCCCTTAAAGGGCATGTGGCTTTTTCATTCCATTTAATACGGCCGGTCCTCGCTTGCTTGCCCAGCGGGTATCCGATTAAATGAATTTCCACCACCGCTTGCCGGGCGAAAAGTTACTTCAGTGGGATTATTATTATTTTTCTGCTTAAATTTTAGTTCACATTCCAGCTGCGCGTAAATCATCGTTATTTTGCACAAAAACAACAATTTGTTTAATTTGTTTTGTTATTGTTGTTGCTATTTGCAGTGCAAAAGTTGTTACAACTTTGTTGAACTGTTGAATGTCATTTCATCCGCAATTATCCACCTCCGCCGGCAAGAGCCTCAGCCATTTTGTGTCTGCGAATTTAATTTATGAAAAAATGTGAAAAATATTGTGCGAAATATTTTTGTAATAAGCACATGAAAATGAGAGTACTTTGCTGGCTGGCTGGTCGATCTCAAACAACATTTTAATCGAATTAAATAAGTAATTTAAGTTGGATTAAAGGCGATTGTTGAATTTGTATACAAAATGTTAAAAAGGTGGCGTACATATTTGTTTTCTGTTTCTGTTTTCTTAATTATTAAGTTATTTTAACGTACCTACGTTCATTTTGCAAGTAAATCACTTAAATTGTGCAAATTGTGTATCTATTCCTTTCTAATCCACCGCATTTTTCTGTGCTCCTCTTTCAGAATACATCACCGCTATGGGAAGACTTTGTTACCAAGGCCACGAAGTTACACCAATGTTTACGGTAAGTACCTACTCTTGTCTCTCGACTACGGCCGCTGCTCTCTTCAGCAATTATCAAAATTATTTTCCTTTGCTCTAACTGAAACTTTTTACGGCTTTCTTTACCTAATTTGTTTATGTTGGGAATAATCTGCTGAAATGTTTATTTTCTAAACAAACAATTGGAAAAAATTCAAATATGTATAGAGTGGCATCATTATTGGAAGTAGTGGTCCACTAGCAATGTATGTAGCTGTGTACATACATACATACACATACAATTATTCATGGAAATCGTTAAATGCATATCTACATTCATACATACATACATACAGTGGTGGAAGAAATAATAGAAACTTTTTTACTTTGACCAGTTTTGGCTATTTTACTTTGTTTATTCGATTTTTAATATTTTTGTATAAAAGTCTAGCGCAATATATAACACACACCATATAAATCCACATTTCAAAGTTTTGTACAAAAATTATAAAAATTCAACACAGTTTATCAAAATCCCCCGAAAAATTTCAAACTTTTCAATCAGATTTTTTTGAAAAATTTTGGGTATGCAGTTTTATAGCCCATTAAATTTTAGTAAATCTGCAAACCGCAAGACGCTATGATTTTTAATAATTTATTTGGCTGGCGGTGTTGTGCATTTTCTCCCATATAAAGTATGCTCGACCATGCTCAAAAAAAAAAAAAAAATTTAATGTAAAATCTGATTAAAAAGTTTTAAATTTTTGGGGGATTTTGTTAAAATTTGTTGAATTTTTATAATTTTTGTACAAACTTTGAAATATGGATTTATATATTGTGTGTTATATATTGGTTAGACTTTTATACAAAAACATTAAACATCGAATAAACAAAGTAATATAGCCAAAACTGGTCAAAGTAAAAAGTTTCTATTATTTCTTCCACCACTGTATATGAGAAATGCCCGAACGCTGAAGTTAAAATCATAAAATTTGCATTTGACCTAAGTATGTTTATGCCATCATTTGTTGTATGTGGAATTCGTGGCCTACTTTCGGTATTATAAATGACCTGTGAGAGTTGCCTGCTTTTTCCGCATAACAAAGCGAATTTGATTTCCCTCAGAAGCACGGAATTGCACAAAACGATTGCATTGGTGATGAATTACTTTCTGAAAGTTTTTACAATCGCAAAATCGTCGTAATTTATTGGGGCAATAAATAAAATAGAAGATTTAAATAGGTCCGCACTAAAGCCATTCGCAGACACTCCTTTGCTCCTTTGCTGCAGTAACTCCGATTGCATGAGAAACTGTCGTGCGATCCGGGCTTAAAACATCTTAGTTTTATGAACTTGGATGTTACTTTTTTGTATTTGGATAACAATCTCAGCATCTTTTGTTTACGAATATTTTATAACCTCAAACTTTTTTCATTAAATTAATCTTCTAGGCATTTTAAACAACAAAAAGTTTACTGACAAAGGTGGGCTACACAAAATATGTATGTATATATGTATGTACTTATGTCATTATGTAAATACGAAAACCTACTTAATAACATTTTTTTAAATGGCACACATCTTTTGCCATTTCAATGCCAGGTGAAAATTCGGCAAAAGAGTTGGTTACAAATACATACATAGTTCCTTATCGTATATAGTATATTTTTTTTAAAGAATTTTTATTCTATTCGGACTCTTTAATTACACCATTATTTTGTTCTTGTGAAGCACGCTTTGTCCGCCAACACAAAGTGTATCTGCGTAAAATCACCATCACCGCAAAACAATTTCGCACTTTGTAATAAAAAAAATCTGTATTTTTATCGCGACTAAAATTGTACAAAAAAAAAAGAATTAAACAAATCATTTGAGAGCAGCAAAGCAATTTTCGGTTTAGTGATGATATACAAAAATATAAACATCTGTATGTATATAACTACATGTGTACATATGAACGTGTATATCTACATACATACATACATATGTAGCACTTTCAAATTTAATTTAATGTTTTTTATCTCTGTTTATTTGCAGTGCCGCCATTCAGGCAATCGCCGCATATTTGGATGCCTTCCAAAAAATCGCAGACGCAGCAACAAATTCAAGAGGTAAGTTCAAACCCCCAACGCATAGATGTACAAACATTCTATTATCGTACATATATACATATGTATATTTATACATACAACGTATTGTATGTGCAAATAAAAATAGAAGAACTTCGAAATAAACAACGCAACGCAATAGAGAGATTTTATTCTCGCGATTCCTCTGACGCTTCACTTGTGGGAAAGCGTTCCAAAAGCACACGCACATGTTGCACTATTACGCAGCAATGTTGCCCGCAGCATTTCTGCTGCCATCAGATTGATCACCAACGGCTAAACATGTTGCGGCATCACGCTGTTTATTGCCAGAAATCACAAATAAATAAACAAAGCTACGACGCCATAGGCTGATCGATCGCTGCTTTCCGCTTACCACTGCCATCTTTGTTTCCGCGTACTTGCAGAATTCATTTACCTGATTCTACGTTCGTAATTTGTTTTTTTCTGACGCAAGTTGAGGAAGTGAAGTTTGGCGGCGATCCCAGAGTTCGTCACTGGAATCACTGTTAGCTACTCGAACGACTGCCTCCGCCTCAAATGTGCCTTGTTATTGACATTTTTTTTTAGTTAGCTGACCATGTGAAGGTTGTTGATATAGTAGGCGCGCGTCCGCAAGCACTGACCACGACCATCTTACATACTACGTTCCCACGACAGTTGGACCTACGTAACCGGAACGACCCAGATTTATGTACATACATATGTACGTACGTATGTATATATATGTATGTATTTGGCCCAAGGACTGTCACTCTAGCATTACTCCCCAAAAACTCTTTGGAGAATGTGTATGCTATTACAACAACAACTATGTATATTTGCTAAACTATGCACTTTTTTATTCCTTCTAAAATGTATTCATGGAAATGCAGGATTTTAACATTAAAGCTTCGTTGCAGTCAAGCTATTCACTTGACTCGTGTGGCCCTTGTCTGTAGTGGGATGCATGCGAGTATTTTGTAAATGAATTTCACTAGCGAGCAACTCGCTCGACTGCCCTTTTTTCCATTTAGCTGGGGGATAATGTAATGACTTAGACGTATGTACTTGCTTTTCTCAGTGAGCGTTAAGTAAGCTTAAGTGAATGTCGCCAACCCGCCAAAACAATTCTGTGCTTCTGAACCCTTGAAATGTATGTTTAGAACTCGTCTATGCTGTGAAATTGTAACAAATAAGTATGTATTACAAAACGCCCTAAACCCAGCACCGCTCATTATGTATGCAAAGCTTAATGCATTGTGTAATATTTTCTCCCTTTTTCGTTGGTTCATATTTTCGTTCCCACAAAGGGTGGAAATCTACTTGAGTGGTGGTCAAGTTTTTTTTGCCGATATTATTTGTCGAAGTGTTAATTGTCGTTTGGTTTGGGCGCAATTGCTGTGTTCGTATTTTTTTCCCTGCTATTTGTACGCTGTTTGGGGTGTAGTAGGTATGTCCTTACCGTAATATAGAAAGGTCCTAAATGCAAAAAAGCCGTAACTGACTAAAAAATTTTATTGCATAAAACGATGTAGGGACTTATAATTTAATGAAATGCATCATAATGAATCTAAAAGTGAATTTTAGATTTTTAATTAGTTACGGATTTATGTATTTCGGCGACGACGATGTGAGATAGGGCCTTTCTATATTAAGCTAACGATATGCAGATTCACTCCTTCGCTTAATGGTATAAATCTGTATACGCCGCAGGCAGATAATGGTTTTACAACTATTTCTGGCTCTATCTTTACTAGGAAAATAGTATCGAGTTCCAAGGAAAACTATTAAAAACGAATGCACGGTAGATCGCTGCTCCACATAACTTTTTCCGAAGGAACTGAAGAGAAAAGGACAATGGCTTCACCGACATATGACTAGATTATTCAGTCTAGAATGTTTTAAAGGCATACAGAAAAAAAACTTAAAGAATCCTCTTGACAATGATAATGTAACTTCATGAAGAGCGCAATCTAACTTTATAGTAATAATAATATTTTGGCGCTTACAGTTTTGCCAAGTTTTTGCCCGCAGCACTGCTCCTCCAATTCGCTACTGTTAGACAAAAAAAAAAAAAAACGTTTTCTAATTTAGATGTTGCTCGAACCTGGGCCTGCCTCTAACTACTCAGCCGCATCGCAGCTAACTTTAACTAAACCTAAATTAAGTTAGAAAAAAAAAACGCCAAACCATAAAGCGAGTCGACATGACGATATTCGATTTATTCACTTCTAATAATAAAAAACCTTAAAGTGTCTTTAGACTGATTTTTCTAATTAAGTTATTTTCGTTCGCTGCCCTCTTTGCATTCAACAGTCGGTGTGAGAATTGACTGATACGACAACTAAAAGTGCCACAAAAACTTGATCAAAAGTCACACTGTTGTTGTTTTTGTTGTCGTCGTATTTGTAATTGATCAGAAATAAGCTTCAACCAACAACTATCAACTAGCAACTAGTTCGCATTTTTTTCTGTTTCCTGTTACAGTTGTTGTAATTGTTGGTGCTGTTGTAGTTGCATATGGCGTAGAATTGCGTTATTACTTTGCGACGCCACTCCCTCCCCCAGCCAACCTAGCCACATTCTGCACCAAGTGCCCCTCTTTTATTTGTCTAGCGACAGAGTGTGGCCAGAGTGTGTGTACACGAAAGTAGATAGCCTCACCTCACCGGTAGTGTAAGCGTCGCTGTAGCCGTCGTCGCCGTTAAATGGGGGCAGTTGCAACGGTACAGCCAATAACAACAAAAATAATACAGTTGCAATGACAATATTAGCCGGTGTGCCACTGCATCTGGTACGGTGTGTGGTGGCGGTGGCGGTGGCGGCGGCGTGCCGGCGGCAATGTGCATGAAGACCGGTTGTTGACCGTGTGTTGCATGCACCAGCTATGTGACTGTTGCAGAAGAGCAAAAAAAAAACAAAATCGAAAACTGAACGAAAAAAATAGCGAACACTCCTCGTTGGTCTTTTTGTCTTTTTCATTTAATATTCTCTTTGTCGGTTGGTATAAATGTGTATGTACATATGTATATACAACCAAAATAAGCTTAGACAATATGGCGTGGTTATTATAGAGATGTTTTTCATGACGCTTACTTTGGATGGGGCTGTAAATATTTAATTTTTTACGAGCACAGAATGTTGCTCTTGAATTTTCAGAATTTCTGTAATACTGAGGCCACTACTGATTTCTGGGTTCAAGATCCTACCAATGCAAAATGTACAGGTGTGAATACAGCTTATGAGCATAGGGTGTGTACATACAATCTTAGTTGATAACAAAATAGTCCATCATTCATTTCCAATTTAAAACAAGTTTATCAAGTTCGTAGAGCATTTGCCTTCGACGTCAATCTGCTTGCCATCTTTGCTTTGATATCGTGGGAAAAAGGATAAAGTGGAAAGTGTGTTAAATTTTCAATTCTTATTTTTTTTTTTAAGCGCATCACTGATAAAAATTAAAAGCACCACTTCCGACTTTTCATATTCGTTTTCAAATGAACCGTAAATCACAATTTTATTTAGTTCAATTAGCGGTAATTTTGTGCTTGATGTTGGTCAGTGTGTCAAATAATTTCCCAAGTGTTTCGCCGCGCTGGTGTGCGTCACACAAATGGCAGGGAAAAGGTTTTTGTAACGACTTTTTAAGAAGCGCACAAGCGCATTCGAAGCTTTGAAACCATCACGACGATACCAGAATCAAGATAAAGCGCATCGTTAAGGAACATAAGCGGCAAAAGCTGTTAAAGCTCTCAGGAACCTATTATCTTCAAACCGAAGTCAGCAGGTTGTGGGCGACTGTCAATTCGCTTTCTAGACCGACAAAATACAACGACGATTCAGTCATCAAATTCGTAGAGGATACCATTACAGAGCCCTGTAATTGCGAGAGTGCATCGAGCACCCTGGGACCAGATGAAACATACAGCTCATAACACCCAGGAAGTGCAGGAAGCCAAAGCGGAAACTAAATCGTGATGCTAAAACTACTTGACGTACCGGGATTTTACATTCCTCAATCTGTCATTCGTCACACAGATTATCTCTGAGATCAGTAGAACTAGAAGACTTCTACAGGCCAATCACGTTCCTTTTTCCAAGGAAAATTCAAACATCGAAAATCACAATTTCCGAGCTATCTCCTAATCTGTTCGACATGCACCTGCCCAAAATTCCGCAGACGCTTCAGAGAGTCTCAGCCAAAGACTGATCCGTCATGGCAAGATACAGCTAGTATATCGACAGTTTAAAAAAAAAAATAGCTATTCTGTTATGTTTTGGAAATACATCTGTAATCGTCGTGCGTGTTTTAATTTCTACAAGATGCCCTAATTTCTTTTACAGGTGCTTCCAAGGAAATCGGCACCGCTTTAACCCGTGTCTGCCTGCGACACAAAGCTGTCGAATCACGTCTGAAAACTTTTACTACAGCGATAATGGACTGCCTGGTACAGCCCCTACAAGTGAGTTAAGCTAATTATTTGTGAACATAAAAAATTGTTTGCGAACCACCTTTGAATTTCCAGGATAAATTAGAAGACTGGAAACGCACAGTGATCACCATAGATAAAGAGCATGCCAAAGAGTATAAACGCTGTCGCTCCGAACTCAAAAAGCGCTCCAGCGATACGCTGCGTCTGCAGAAGAAAGCTCGCAAAGGTCAGTCGGACACCATACAGTCGCTTATGGATTCGCATATGCAAGATGTGACCTTGAGACGCGCCGAGTTGGAAGAGGTCGAAAAGAAGTCGCTGCGTTCGGCAATGATTGAGGAACGGCTGCGATACTGTACCTTCGTGCACATGCTGCAGCCGGTCGTCAAGGAGGAATGCGAAGTGATGTCGGAGCTCGGGCATTTACAGGTGGGTGTAGTAGGTCGAGTTTAGCACCAACGAAAAAATTTTATCTCGTTTCCTTTCTTAAATTTGTTTACTTTCGGCATAATAGGAAGCAATGGATTCAATTGCCATTGTAACGAAGGATCCGAGCGTTTTGCCGCCAGCCTCCGAGGAGCTCATACATGACGCAAAAGCCACAATGACGCTGTACCCCGAGTCGCCGGGCGGCGGTTCGGGCTCCCAAGGTGGTTGCTCCAATTCGCTGGGTTCACGCAAAAGCTCCGTTTGTTCCATTAGCTCCATGAACAGCAGCGGCTCAAGCAATTCACCGGGACATCACCACTATCCACGTTCGCTTTCGCAGGTGAGTGAGTGGCGCGACCAAGGAAAGAGAGAGAGTGGAGTGGCTTGGCTGGCGCCAGGTGGCAGCTCTGCTAAATGTCGGTGTTACGCTTCACTCATGACCTTTCGTTTACATTTCTTTGAGCGAGGGTATCCATCCCATTCATCATATTCTATATGTGATTTTATTGTTTAAGTTCTTCGTTTTTATTTTTGTTGTCATATTCGTTTATTTTATGTTTTCTTTTTTTTCAACCGCAGTTAATTTCGCCTGCAATACGCTTGAAACCTGGTGAATCCAGTGATAGTGGCTTTTGCTCTTCGCCAGCGCTAACCACACAGGTTTTTATTTTTATATTAATTACTTTTCAAATTTCGTAAAATAAAATTTTAATTCGCTATGATTTTTTGTCTGTGGCTCATTCTGCCTTTTGTGCTTAATTTATTTTCCAAACGAATTGTTTTTTTTTATGCTTTTATTAATTTCAATATCTCTTATATAAGGCTTCCACTGCCACTAGTCAATCGCACGCCGTTTCCACTTGGCCTCCACATTCCCAGGATGCGGTGCCTGTGCTGCCACCTGCCGCCGATCGGCCACACACAATCTCAACCGCCTACGAAAAGGGCCACCAACGACCGCCTCTCACTGTTTACACGTTCCAGAATCCCGAGACCATTATGGAGGGCAATGGCGGGAGCGGCAGCATACCGGGTACGCCAAATGGGCCCAGCGCAGGTGGCGCAGGGTCCGGTGCCAATGCGCCATCTACACTGAAGTCGCCAGCTGGTGCGCTGAGTCGTCCACCTCTGCCTGTGGTAAGTTACGCTATGCCATTCAACACTTGACTTTTTCTGTTCTCTGTGTGTGTGTACATACATATGTATTTGTATTTGAGGTGATTAATTCTTGTTAATTTGATTGTGTTACACTTTGACTTCAGAAACCAACACGTGTGGTAAGTTTAGGACGTAATCTCTTTTTCCAACCTGAATTCCAAATCAAGCCCACACCTAAAATTTCATCATCGCCTACCTAAATAATTCAAATACACAAATTGTAAATGATGCATGCCTCGTATTGCTAGTCCCATCTCTGATTATCCTTAAAAAATTATTTCAAAAACGAAGCAAATCTTTAGTATACATAGTACATATGTAGATCGCTTTAAAAAAATATAGGTCAGTTAAAAAAAAAAAAAACGACTGATCGACATTAAATGCAATTAGCCGGTACTGCCACTTGGTTTTTTGCACATAAAAGTATTTTTAATCCCAAAAACTGGAAAGCAGGATCCCAATCAGGATCCTTCGAGCTATGCATCCAGAAATTCTTAGAAGAGCTTTCCGTCGAGGAGTGTATCAGCGCATGGTTAATGGCGATGCTTGCACTGCATAAGTATTTCAGCAGAATTTGGAAGCTGCATGCTAACGAGAAGCAACAATAGGGCATGATTCAGGGTGTAGTGATTTTGCCACTTTCATAGTCTACCACTATCAACTTAGTACTACTCAACTCAACCAGGGGAATCCATGCCAATGATGTGTCTATTTTAATAATTTGTGGTGAACAACATCATGGTGAGTAGCCGATGAGCTGAGCAATGCGTACTTAGGGCCAAACAAGAAAAAACATAACTAGAGCCTCTTTTTAAATACCAAAGTTGAATAAGGAAATCCTATGCAGTGTTGCCGTTGAGAATTTTAAGAAAGTCACAAAAAAGAAGGGTCATTGACGAAAAAACGGTCACCATATTGTTTTTGCTTTTTTTTACTAGTAAAAAAAGAAAAATAGCGGGCCAAGCTTTGTACAAAAAAGGGTTGCAAACATACACATAAATCTAGCTGCTGCAAAGAGAAGAGTTGCATTTTAATTAATTAATTAATCCCAACGCCTTTTTACCCTCCATTCCCGCCCAACCGACACGAGGGGCGCAGTCCGCATGACGTACGGAACCTTTTTTTTTAGTTTCTTGGTGCCGAGTAGTGGCAACAGGAGTTTGTTAAGTGTCCAGATCTAAAATTATTCAGCTACAGAATCAAATTCATCAGCTGATTGGATATGCTAAAGATAGTATTTCAATTATTGCGAGTGGAAATAATAGTTTTCTTTATAGTAAAAATAGAGTCCGATATGTAAAACGTGCTGGAATGACAGTTAAAATCTCGACATAAACCACGGAATGATTCGTTTAGTTCAAAATTATTTTTTTATGGCTTTAAAAATAGAGGTCGAAAGTGTCTTGACACTTGAGAAGGAACATTAAAATTTACCTCAGCCAGGAGGGCCGGGCTATTACTCTAAAAAGAGGCAAAGGTTGCACATAATTTTTGGAAAAGTCGGGTCAAAGGGTATGGGCGCTTAACAAGGGTCAAATTGCCCCTTTAATCGAACAACGGCAACACTGATCGTATGATTAACATCGGTCACGCCAGCTTACCCACTTTTCCAAATACAGATAAAAATTATTCGAGGAACTAGGTGCTTTTATGTCCGCCAAAATTTATTTAGATGCTCACTCGGTTTCTGATAAATTCGCAAAAATAGGTTTGAGTCAGCTGGCGTAATGCCATGAATAAGTGAGCATCTAAATTAATTTTGGTTGCTCTAAAATGCCCCTAATTTCCGAATAATTTTTATGAGTAACACACAGGTCACATGTATCCGGATCAGTAGTTCGATCGAGATTCAGTTTTTGAGTGCGTGTTTATCGCAATATTTCCGGAAAGGATCTGATGATGAGCTAGCCTGGGTGGGTTCCCAAATGGTCCCAATCGAGGACCGGATTTCAACCGCAATGGGAAACATTTTTCCCCAGAATCTTTAGTAATCGTTATAGGAGGCGTATGGTGTCAAGCTGTCATATAGCCAAAACCCAGATTTGATAGGAGCAGAAATACCATAGCAGGACCAAAGGAGTTCCCATCTTTGCCAGATCTGCCTCCTAAATTTTGGTTGACTTCAACATGCGGTTTATTTTCTTTCCCAGCAGAGCAGTGCTCTACTTTAATGTCGATCAGTTGAAATGCGATCATCATCTTTCACAAAACCTCCTTTTAGAAAAAAAAATTTAATTTTACCGTTTCCATAACTAATTCTTGAATTACTCTTACAGCGTTGCTCTTCGCTGGAACGTCCGCTTTCGGCCACCAATACGCGCAGCGCCAACAATCTCTTGCAGCGGCAATGCCCATCACCTATACCGGCTCACATAACCAAAGGTAAGCGCCGAATCTC